GCCTAATCCACACATTCTGTTTAAAACGAACTGCTGACCCAGTGTGGTCAAGATAGTCTTCTATTTCTGATTTAGGTGGGGAATGAGGAGGGGTGGGCAAGATAAACCAGACCTCCCCCCCTACTCTTTCTAATAGGAGAAAACAGTGGGTACCAATGTGGGGTAAGTTCTATAAAAGGGAGCCCGGCCTCTCCATCCCACCTCTACGTACCGATGAGAGCCCAGCTTTAGAGAAACCCTCTGCGGGCAGAGAAAGGACTGAGGAACAAGAGGAGTGGAGCCCTGGTGGCCGCGAGCTCCAGCGAGCAGGGTGAGGCCCAGCCGGGGAGAGCAGCCATGCAAGTGGGAAGGAAGGGACAAGGGCAGTAATGGAGAGAGCGGGTGGCTTAGGGGGAGCTGGGGGAGGGAGGGCTAGGTTTTCTACTGTGTGGTCAGTCCCTTACTTTATGGTAAGCACATTGTGAGGACACCCATATCCATAATTTGCATTATCTCCCTATAGGAAATCAGCACCTTAGGAAACGAAACGGTGCCTGTTTGACAAGAGACCAGGCAGTGATTGATTTAGACATTTTGTCAACACGTCTGTTCGCCCTGCAGCGTGGGGCAGCTGTTTGTGCTTACTGGTTGATCCCAAATGGGGCCTCGTCCCACAGTGGCAGGGGAGTCAGGCACCCAGGCTCCCTCTCCAGGTCTGCGGGGCTTTATGGGAGCTGGGGAGGAAGCATGGGGGGGGGGGGGTGTAGGCGTGGGTGACAGGAAAGAGTGGGTGGCACAGCCACTTTGCAACACTTTCTCTGCTCTCACCAGCTTTGGTCCAGTAGTTGAGTACAGAGGGGTGGCCTTTGGCCCAGGGGCTTCCGGAGCGCCTGGCTGGGGCTTGGAACAACACCTCTAGCTGCACAGCAGGAAAAGTTAGGAGCACGGGCCTTGGACTAGAGAACCTGGGGTACAGATTCCACCTCCAGTGCCTGGCACTGCATTTAAAATGGAGATGCAACCCATGTCATGAGGTTGTCATGAGGGTAAATGAGCTAATGTGTGTAAAAGACTTGGTATAGGGCGGGTACCATGGTAAGCCTTCGGTAAATTCTAACCGTGGTAATAATGGCTTTTATGATTGAATATTATTGCCACTAAAAATACTGTTATTAAAGAAAAAGACTGCAGAAATTGCTGTTTTTTTATAATGCTAAGTGGTGAAAACATGTTTACAGAATGATTCCGATTACACACCCAGGTCTTCTCGCATGTGTTTCTGGGGAAGATGGTAATGAGAATGCAAATATAGAGGATGATATTTTCAAGAAAACGTAACAATAAGGGGAGTAGCATTCAGGTTTGAAGATAGGTTGTATGACCAGCATGCCAGAAGTACATGTCACAGCGCTGGTGGTGTCCATGGGGCTGTGTTGGCAGATGTGTAAAAACTGACTCATCCTTCACCTCCGGGAGAAGGAGAGAAGGGCCTGGAAGTGACAGAGTAAGAAGGCCTGACCAAGCCTCCTGGGTCTCTGCTGTCCCCACCTCAAGCCAGGGATGAGAGCAGAGACTGGGAGAGTAGACTCAACAAGCTGCTCCAGAGAAGTTACCCTTTTTGCGTGTGGAAGACAGAAACTCTCTTATTTCAAGGGCTCAGACAGATTTCAACTCTTATTTTTACTGATACAAACTGACTGTGGGAGAATTGAATCAATGAAGAACACAAGAGTGGAAAGGTTATGGTATCACAAAAGTACTGGACATGCCCTAGCCAATTTGGCTCAGTGGATAGAGCATCTGCCTGTGGACTTAGGGTCCCAGGTTCGATTCCGGTCAAGGGCATGTACCTTTGTTGCAGGCACATCCCCAGTGGAGGGTGTGCAGGAGGCAGCTGATCAATGTTTCTCTTCCATTGATGTTTCTAGCTCTCTTTCCCTCTCCCTTCTTCTCTGTGGAAAATTAATAAAATGTATTTTGGGGGAAAAAAAGTACTGGGCAGCAGGACTGCAGTGAAATACAAGTTATTGTTAATATGACTATGAAGCTTAATGTAAATATGAAAATTAATGTCTAACAGATACTGACCATCCAAAGTTTAATAACAATAATATTAGCTAACAAAAAAGACATAAAAATAAAGAGAATGATGTCAGGAAATTAAAGATAATAAAAATCTTTACATATAAAGGGGCTCAACAGACTCAAGTAATTAGAAAAAATAAAATATTTTTTAAGAACTCTAAAGGTATTGGTTTAAATTAAAATAGAATGTGTATCTTCCTAATCACTAGAGGAAAAAATATATATGAAAAATTATTAGAAAGACAGGGAAATGTGGAAGGATAAATTTATAGTAGCATTTATGTATAAAACTAGGAGCCCAGCACACAAAATTTCAGGTTCCCACCCTGCCTTGACACCGGAACCTCTCAACCCAGAGCTCCAGCATGCATGGCCCAGCCCTCGACCCCTCTGGCCTTCTCTGCCACTGCAAGCCCTGCCCTCAGTCGCTACAGTTGCCTTGGGCTGGTCCCGCCTTCTCTGGGTGCCTCCCCACTTCCACCCTGTCTCCAGATACAGGTGGGCAGCAGGATACTCTGAGTGCGAGCCCTGGGTGGCAAAGGACTGGTGAGGGGGGCACTACAGGCTGCCACCCCAGCTACCACTGGATGGTCCTGCCTCCTCTGGGAGCCTCCCTGCTTCTGCCCCATCTCCGGAGCAACACCCCGCCACCCACTCACGCACCTATACGCAGGCAGCCTCCTGTGATTGGCTGTGATATTGCCAAGTAACAGACAATTTTCATATTCCTCTATTATTATATGGGATGTGTTACATTATGTGATCAAAAGATGTATTAAATATACCAAAACCAGTTTGGCTCAGTGGATAGAGCGTAGATCTGTGAACTGAAAGGTCCCAGGTTCGATTCAGTCCTCTGCGCACAATATGCACACGACTCCGGGGGCCCTGTTTTTCGCCGCTCTTCTTGGATTCCGCCTCACAGCCCTGTCTCCCCCTGCCGGAGCCTGGGTCCCCAGGGTCTGGCCCATAACTGGGGCTCAGTACTGCCGGTTAGGGGGTTCAGCCCAGGCTGGGGGTTTTATTTCCTTCCTGCTACAGAATGCCAGGCAGCACCCAGCCCTCTCCTCCTCTCCGGCTGCAACCTCTCCGCAGGCGCATGTGGGCGGGCGCGCAGCATGTCTCCGTACCTTAGGCTTTTTTTCAGCTCCTCTGATTTTCCTTCTGGTTTTCTCTTTCCTTCTTGTTGTAGAATTTTCAGTCAGTCGACTACCTGTAGCTCTGGGCAATGTCCACTCTACATTTTAGTTGTATTCCATTGAAATTGTTGTGTGCTGCCGCGGTTAGATGTCTACCCGAGCAGCCATCTTGGATCTCTCTTCATAATTCTAATTCTTGAAATTTTCCAATTGAAATAATTAAAGCTATGTGCAAAGAATAATTATTGCTCTGATTTTTATAATAGTGAGAAATTAGGATCAGGTTAAATGCAAACATTAGGAAACTATTTAAATAAATTATAGACTATATAGTGAAAATACACAGGGATACTAAATAATGTTATAAAATATTATTTAATAACCTGGGGGAAAGTTTGCTATATTGTTAAATGGATAAAAGTAGGTTATGTACCAGTGTGAATAGTATGTCTCTGAATAATTTTAAGTATGTGTGTGTTAAATCTGGAAGGATATAAGCAACCTACATCATTTCTAAACTGATGAGGTTATGAGAGATTTTATTTTTACTTCGATACTCAAAACTGTGTTTTTAAATAAGAGCTGTGGTTTTGCTGGAGTAATAGCAACAAATACTCATAAAACATATGCAGAAAGGGAGGTTAAAAAGAAACTGTGTTTACTGCTGCCTAACGGGAGTGCAGGTGATTAATGCTTTATTTTTGGTACCTTTTTTCTTTACTTGTATTATACATTAATTTCAATACCACAAAATTTAAACCACAAACTTAAAACTTAAAGAAAGAAGGGAAGAAGTGTAAAGGAATCTACTTCAAAAACTGTAGCATATGCCTTAACTGATTTGGCTCAGTGAAGAGTGTCAACCTGCGGACTGAAGGGTCCCAGGTTTGATTCCGGTCAAGGGTATGTACCTTGGTTGCAGGCACATCCCCTGTGGGGAGTGTGCAGGAGGCAGCTGATCGATATTTCTCTCTCATCGATGTTTCTAACCCTCTATCCCTCTCCTTCCCTCTCTGTAAAAAAAAAAAAAATCAATAAAAAATATATATTTAAAAAAACTTTAGCATAGAAGAAATGCTGAAATATGTCATCCTTTCACTCATTTATTCACTTACTTTACTATTGTTGACACTAAGTGCCTGCTGTGTGCCAAGCACTGTCTTCAACAGAGAGAACACAGTGGTAAAGCAAAATAAGGATGGAATTTGCAGTGTATGGTGAAGCCGATATTACATAAATGTTCATGTGATGAAATAAAATTGGAAATATAATCTGAAAGTGTATTATGCATAAGAACAGGGTTTAATGAGAATAAACCCATGGAAAGTTCATATAGCAATGTATATATGAAAAAATTATATTTTGAGAAGAACAAATAGGAGATTAAGACATACTTGGGAAAGGGAAGATGGGTGGAAGGAAGAAGGATGTAAAGGTCATTTGTTGTCTTCAGAAACTGTGGAAGAGTTTATTGTGTAATATTTCTGATTATGTAAGACTGAGCAGAAGATTACAAATGTGTGCACTCAAGGCAGAAGTTATAAAGTAATTTGAATAATTCTGAAATTTTGCAATCTCATTCTTATGAAAAAAAGCATTAAATTATCATTAACTCCAAAGATATGCGTGAATTAACCAGTGTCAATAGCAAAAAAATCTTTAACTGATTGTATCATTATGTATCAATTCTTAGACAGGTAGTATCAGAACCTTTCTGTGACTTACAGAAGACTTAATGAGAAGTTTGTTTTGTGGCGAGGATTCCTACCGAATAAAAAGGGGGCTTTTCTATTTCAGCATTAAATGAACCCACCATAGACTATGGCTTCCAGAGGCTGCAGAAAGTCATCCCAAGGCATCCTGGAGATCCAGAGAGATTAGCGAAGGTAAAACACTTCGGAAATTAACATGTGAAAGCCGTCTTGTAGGATTTCAGCAAATTTAGATAAATACAGTCCCTTAAATCCCTCTAAAATTAAGTTAGGTCTTGAAATTGGGCTAAGCTTTAGCTACAAGATGCACATAAAATATTTACTAACGGTGAAATAGAATATGATTAATCTCTGAGGAAATATGAAATCTGAAAACTTGGGCCTATAAAACAGATACACTGTGAGAATTCAGCTTATAAAACACTGCCAACTTGATGAAAATAAAATAATGGTATAATTGCTTAAAACTGTAATTTCTCACTCCTTTGTATTTAAATATAATTTTATTTACGCATAATTACAGGTACACATTAGTCCTCAATCAAGTATTCACTGAGGATTTTCTATGCATACAGGCATTTAATGAAGTGAAAAACACCTCCATCTACAATTTACATGAAGTTTTAAATGAATTTGCTTATGAAAATCTATCCCACTATTTTAGCTTTTTTTTTAAATACATCAATTTATTAGGTATTCAATAAATGTGGAATTAATACATTTTAACATTTATGTTTGCATTTTAAGCACACACATTATAGTATGCTATGCTCTGTTTTCTCTACTGTGCGTAAAATTTAAGTACCACAGTTGCTTCTACATCATACTTTTATTTCCAGTTGGAAAAATCCCCAGCCCCACTATTAAATTAGGTGATATCTGGAAAGTAGGTTAATAGCAATTTAAAAGGCTGTTAAAAACAGGAGGTGGAAAAGACAAAATGAGAGGAAAGGGATTACTGAATACCAATTCTCTCTGGTTAAAATGAACAGGGGGAAATGTTATTGGAAGAATTCATCTTTATTAGAATAAAATTTTGCTGAAGGTATTGCCAAGAGAATTTCAGTACTTTGGACACCTCCTTGGCAAGCAGCTAAACACAAGTCAATCGATCATTTTAAGAATACTTGATTAATTAGATAGAGTACCTCCAATTTGGTTGTTTTCTGTTTTGGTTGCACCACATTTTATGGATCCATTTTATCTAGAGGAATTCCATACCCTATATAAGAAAAGGCTAATATGCAAATCGACCGAACAGCAGAACGACCAGTCTATGACACACACTGACCACCAGGGGACGCACACTCAATGCAGAATCTGCCCCCTGGTGGTCATTGTGTTCCGATAGGGGGAGAGCTGCTCAACCAGAAGCCCTGAGCTGGGCTCATGGCTGGCGAGCACAGGGATGGTGGTGGATCTTCTTTGTGTTTTCCAATGGTCTTAGGCTGCACAGCAGCAGTTCTCAACCTGTGGGTCGCAGGCTGAGAACCACTAGCAGGGTCTCCTAAGACTATCAGAAAACAGATATTTACATTACAATTCATTAATAGTAGCAAAATTACAGTTATGAAATAACAATGAAAATAATGTTATGGTTGGGGGTCACCACAACATGAAGAACTGTATTAAAGGGTCACGGCATTCGAAAGGTTGAGAACCACTGTTTTAGGGGGGGATGTCTGGATGTTTTATACATAATTTTCCTTTCTGTTTGCCATTTGGGGTTCTTCCTTTGCTTATACCCCACTCTTTTTTTCTTTTCTAGGAAATGCTGTTGAAAAGAGCTGCGGATCTTGTGGAGGCCCTGTATGGCACACCACACAATAACCAGGTTAGGAGCTCACTCCTATACTCTAGGCTGAGTTGGACAGTGGATGAAATGCTCACCTCAACCTGCCATTTTGTAGGACATAATTATGACCCTCTTCCCCCCATAGGACATCATTTTGAAGCGAGCCGCAGATATTGCTGAAGCCCTCTACAGTGTCCCCAGGAATCCCAGCCAGATCCCAGCTCTCTCCAGCTCTCCTGCTCACAGTGGCATGATGGGCATCAATTCTTATGGCAGCCAACTTGGAGTCAGCATCTCAGAGTCAACCCAGGGAAATAATCAAGGTACTACCTTTCTCAGAGTCAAAATCCAAACAATGTATATATTTCAAAAGTTAGTTCTGCTTGAGTGCAGGGAGCTAAAGTTTGATTTAGACACCATCAAAAGAGTGTCCACAAATAAGCAATGCATTCATATACTGTTGGGTTATCTCAAGATTATAAGCCGTGTATTAATAGATTTTGAGCTTTTTAGATAATAGGTAGAATGCTTTTACCTGGAAATACTTAAGGACCAGACTAACTATTATGATTTTAGAAAAGCTTAGGCTCACTGAATCAGATTTACAGGTATAATTTGAATAAAATTTATACTTCTACCATTGTGATCATCAGACTGAATAGTGTAAAGGAGCTGAATTATTGACATTATTGTTTATGATACACAACTCTCTCTTCCTAGTAACCAAGGGGGACTGGTTTGGTTTTATTTGGCAACTTCTTTTCGTGTATTACCTCAGATACAAAAAATAGCAACCAGTTTATACAGTTACCTGTGCTTTTACATGTAAAGTATCTCATGTAAATATTTTTGTCCTTGAGGTTGAAAGGTACTAAATTTGTCATAAATCATTTTTAAAAGTAAACATTCTTAATAATGTCTCTAACTTTGAGGTAATTTCATTTCTAATTTTGTCCATTGGATGGAAACTCCTCATTCTTATGTCTAGGGTGATTTCTTGCAGAAGGGTGGGTGGGATGTAATATTTCTTTTTTTTTTTTTCTTCTTCTTCAAATCTTGGTTATTTCCTAAATAGTCCTAGAGACAGTTTCCTCAAAGTGGGTGACTTCAGGATAGGTTAGGTGATGACTAATTGGCATCTGTGCTAGGGTTTTAGAAGTATGAGGAGGACTCATTGTCCCTTCCCCTATCCCACTTAGAGGCTGGATTTACCCAAACTCCATTGCTGATGTTTCCAAGTCTTTGGTCAAAGAACAGCACATTTAAAATGAACTTATCAACACTTTTTGAATGAAAATGCTTCTCACCCCCACCCAGGGCATGGCAACAAATTTGAACATTCCCAAAGCTGTGATCTGTAGAAAACTAGTGGCCCTTGAGGTGTTATTAGGATGCCTTTTTCCCACCACTCCCAGAACAGATGCTATGGTGTGTTTAATTTGGGAAATACTAGGTTAGCAAAGTTCAATTAGTTTAGGGATTCTCTAGGTCCTTCCTATGCCAATTTTCAAAGAATGGCTACAGTATATAACATCTGCCAAACTTTGTTTGACCAGACAATGCTTTTCTCAGTGATACTTATTAATATGTCATAGGGCTCTAGTGTTATACAAAATATGATTTGGAAGATGTCAGTATACACTGCCATTAGTCATTCATTCCTTGGTATGAATTGGTGAGGTTGACTGCAAATGTAAAAGCAGATGAAGGAGGGACTGTGAAGGACACTGCCTTTGGTAGGATGGGGAAGGGAAAGGAAGGAATTAAAGGATGAAGATAAGATATGCACTTTCCATCCTGTTGGGGTCAGGTTGGTGGTGCTCTGTAGTCTGGGCTGATGTGGATCTGGGCTGCCATATTGGCTCTGCACTGTGTGTGCGCATTAGTTCACTTACCCGGGCTTTTCTTGGTTGTCCAGGTTACATCCGCAACACAAGCAGCATCTCTCCTCGGGGCTACTCTTCCAGCTCTACCCCTCAGCAGTCTAACTACAGCACCTCCAGTAACAGTATGAATGGCTACAGCAACGTCCCCATGGCCAACCTGGGCGTTCCAGGGTCACCAGGATTTCTAAACGGCTCCCCCACAGGCTCCCCTTATGGAAGTAAGTTCCCTCTCCACCCTCTGCCTCTCCCTGGCTCTGTCCCTGGGTTTCAGCCTTTTGAGGGACAGTTGGCCTCCTACATCTCACTGTCCATAAAGGAAGAGCCCGCTTTCTTTCCTTCTTGCCTTTTGTTCTTTTCCCTTTGCTAGACCTGGGCTCCTTTGTTTACTCCAAGTCTTCAGAGGGTTGAGAGGGGGTAGTAGGGGGGAGAGGAAAGAGGGGAAATGCTTCCTTTTTTAAAAAACAGAAAGAGCATATGTAGCTTGTGTAGATAGAGGAGAATTATGATTCCATGAAGAGGAATATATGCTCTTCACCAGGGGTTTTCAGATATGATGTTTTATTTAATCCTCATAAGAACTTTCTGAGGTCGGTGTTATTATCCCGTTGTTGCAGGTGAGCAGGTTTAGGTGCATAGTGAGCCACTGACTTACCTGAGATCACACAGCTGGAATAGGGTAGGGTGATCATTTCAACATAGAAGTTATGACTTCAAGTTATTCTGTGCATCCCCCAGGCTCTCTTTTTACTGTGCTACATGGCTCTCTCCTCCATCCAGAGCAGCGATTTTCAACCCCTTTCATCTAATGGCATACATAAACTAATTACTAAAACTCTGCAGCATATATATATATATATATATATATATATATATATATAGCCGATCTGACAAAAAAAGTATAATTTTGATTCATTCAATCAGACGGCTATTGTTATATTGGTTGTTGTCGTTATTTTTATTTGACAATCTAAGGGGAAAGAGGTCAGTGCCCCTGACTAAGTGATCAGTCATGTTTATAAAATTCTTGTGGCATACTGTGTGAAAGTTGCTGTTCTAGAGAGATGGATTTGACGACTTGTGAGAGTGATACATGGAAATAAAATCTTTTTTTTTTTAAATGTAAGTATGGTTGGTGTACAATATCACATTGACTTCAGGTGTACAATATTTACATACTTACAGTGTGATTACCACGCTAAGGCTAGTCATCTGTCACTGTGCAAACTTATCATGGCCCAGCAATTCCACTTTTGGGAATTTAGCCAGGAAAACAAAACCAGTACTTTAAAAAGACATATGCACCCTTATGCTCACTGCAGCATTATTTACAATAACCAAGATGTGGAAGCAACCGAGGGCCCATCAATAAATGAATGGGGAGACAGAACCTCCCAGTCCTGATCTTTGGGCTAGCAGCAAGCTAGATGTTCCAGAAAGTTATGAAAACTCAATTAGCTTGCTTTTAGGGTTAAACTTGGAACTTACACAAGTTAAGAGAACATGTGTTTTTTAAACCTATTTAGGGAATACGTCAGGCCAGGAGAGAAGTCACCATGGAGAGTCTGAGTGAGTGAGTGAGTTCTTGAAATGTTAGATCTGTGGCAGGCTTTACAGCAGATCCTCCGCTCACCCAGACTGGCTCCCTCATGCCAGGAACAAGGGCGACTCAAGGTCAGCACACAGCCCCTTCCACCATAGCTCAGGAAGTGAAATGCCAAGGATATAGAGGCTGCCTTTCAGCCTTTGGGTCTATGTTCTATACATACCCATGAATTCTATCTGGGACACCTGTTTGATTCACCACACTCAGTGCCCTACTGAATGTGATAAGGACATAGCAACCAGGTAGCAGAGACAGTAGAGGCTGGTTCTTCTATGATAGTACCATTAACATCTGACGACGAGTTCTATGTTGTATGATCCTGATCAATTAGACCAGAATGATCTAGAAAAACAAACTTTTGCTTGATTTATTTATTTCTTCACTTGTTTTTACCTTATCTTGTTTCAAAATGGGGGAATTATAGTGGTCAGTGGGTATTATGAAAATATAAGAAGCTGAGATAAAAGAAAAAATATGGATAAGAAAATTAGATGAAGCCAAGGACGGGTATGGATGCCATTCATTCATTCAAGGGAGCCATTGTTTTGTTAAGAGACTTACAAGATGGTAAAGCAAAGATAGGAGCTATTTGCTATAAGAGTTGGTGTCCACTGTATTTTTTCAGTAGCTCAGGAGAAACTTGCTTTTTCTGTTGCCGAGACCTTGAAGAGGTTTCTTCCTACATCCTGTGGAGCCGGGACCTGTGTGCAGAATGGATCACATTGTCAACAGCCCCTGCAAGTGGTAGAGGGCAAGAGAGCTATGGTGTAAATAATGTCCCCTATCAGTGGTGACAACAATAACAGTAATTCATAATTGCATTCCGAGTTAACAGCCTATCAGGCACGTCGCATGGACAGTCCAGTAAGATCCTCACAACACCCTTATGATATGGATATAATAATGGTAATGGTAATGGTAATAATTACAATTATCACAATTTCTCCTCTAAGATATTAATCATTATTAAATCACTTACTCAAGGATTCATAACCAATAAATAGCAAAAGCAAGACTAGAACAAGTTATCAGATTCAGAATACCAAGTTTTTAAATTATTCAATAATGTTAGAAATATTTCACATGTTTATAATACATTATTAGTCTGAAACATATGAAATGACCTCTTTTTTATTTCCAAAATGGTAATAGCACATGTTCAAGCAGACATTTATGAATAAAAGGTATTTGGTTGAACTATATGAAACTGTTATTTTTGTAAATCAAAAATGGTCAAGCCCTGGTCTGTGTGGCTCAGTTGGTTGAAGCATTGTCCTGTGCACCAAAGGGTGATGGGTTCAATTCTTGGTCAGGGCATATGGCCAGGTTACAAGTTAGATCCCCAGTCTAGTCTAGATGCATATGGGTTTCTCTCTCACATCGATGTTTCTCTCTCTTTCTTCCTCTCTCTCTAAAATAAAAAAAAGCATACAAAAATGGCCAGTATAATGATATAGTGTATAGTATGGGAGAAAGTTGGAGGGAAGGATAGATAGATGATAGATAGGTAGATAGATATACAAACATAGATAATGGATAGATAAATGAAAATGCCCATTGGGTGTTAATTATCTGATATTTCTTATCCATAATTCATTTGATAAGGAGGAACCCTTCATACACCAGCAACTGACACCTTCCTTCCACTACACTTTCTTGATTACTCAATCCCACAGCCACAGGAAAAATAATAAACCCAAAGTCTTGAAAGTAAACAAGACAATGCCCTGGTTGGCATGGATCAATGGTTAGAGCATCAGTCCATGCATGAAAGGGTTATGGGTTTGATTCCTGGTTGAGAACACATGCCTGAATTGCAATTTCACTCCCCATGGAGGGCAACCAGTTGATGTGTTTCTCTCTCGTCGATGTTTCTCTCTCTCTCCCTCTCCCTCTCTCTCTCTCTCTATCTCTCTCTCTCTCTCTCTCTCTCTCTCTCTCTCTCTCTCTCTCTCTCTCTCTTTCTCTCTCCCCCCCCCCCCATCCCTTACACTTTCTCTGAATAGCAATGGAAAAAATATCCTCAGGTGAGGATTAACAACAACAACAAATAAGGATAACAGCACAGAATAGAAAGAGGAAGATGCCCTGCCCAACAGGAGTGGGAAACATAGCCGAGAACCTCCTTCTAGCTCCTCCTGGGTATGTGTGGTCCTTGCACCTTCATTTTCTGAGGGAGTGTCTGAAGGAGTTTCAGACTGAGAATGGGAAACCAAACAGTGCATTCACTAACTCATTACAATAAAATCCTCTACTGCTAAAATACAGAATACCTTGTGGAGTTCATTCCAATAACATCTGACCTGTCTTTCTCAAGTCTTAACATCTCTGGAAAATAAAAAAAATAAAAATTAAAAATAAGAAAGAAAAGATTTTTATCATTTCAGTGCATGTGTCTGAAAACAGCATTCTATAATTCTTCAGTTCATTTTTTAAACTAAAAGTAAATAAATAAATAGTCTGATGTGGCCAGGCCATGGAACAGTTGCTTGCCAGAGATATTAAAAAGAAATAAAGCCAAGCCTTTGGTCAAGGTGACTTCCTTTACGGCCAATGCAGAGTATCAGAAACCCTCGTCTTTACTGCGTTTGCTCTCACACTGCTTCAAAAATGGCCAAACAGATGTTTTTTCAATTTCACATACAAACTCCACTTCCTGGCGGTAGCATTGTGTGCCAAGTTCCAGCTCAGTGCAAGTTTTTATGGCTGAGTTCTAAGCCCCTGACAATAGGGGGTTATAACGAAACGCTGACAGGCCCCCGGGTGCCAGCAAATGCAATGGCTCAGTGCAAATGAGGATGTGTGCCCGCTGAGGTCCAGCTGGGACCGTGCAGGCCAATCAATCCTGAGAAGAAGAAAAGGGTTTTTTCCTGAACTCCCCATGTTCACAGAGGTTTCTGGGCCAGGAGTGCCGGCCTTTACTTTGGCCTTTGTCCATAGAGAGAGATGGCCAGAGAAATTCTCACTGGTACCTGTGATCAAGTTTCCGGAGTCGTTGCATTCTGGTGTCTCCAAAGACGGCCTATTCAAACTGCAACACCCAGGGACAACTTAGTCCAAAGCAGAACAGCCACCAACCAAATCCAACATTTTGGAACAAAATCCGTAAGACAAAAATCCAACATGTCCTCAGAGACTCCTATTTCACTCACATAGTCTTAGACTATGCCCTGAGCCTCAATACTTTTATATTTTCAAACATAAATATCAAGATATTTGCTATTATAGATTATTAAAGGATTATTATAGAAAAATTGGAGCCCATGAAAATAGTTTTAAAAAGAAAACCTATTCTCACCATAAATAAAACCACATCGTTGCCCTCGCCATTGTGGCTCAGTTGGTTGGGCACCATCATGTGCACCAAAGGTTACACGTCCATTCCCCTATCAGGGCATATGCCCGAATTGTGGGTTCGATTCCCAGGAGGGGGTGTCCACGGAGGCAGCTGATCGATGTTTTGCTTTCACATTAATGTTTCTCTCCCTCTCCTTTAGTCTCTCTCTAAAAATCAATTAAAAAATTTTTTTTTAAAACCTTGTTAGCATTTTGATCTATTTCTTTTGTCTTTTTCTCCAGGAAAGAAAAAACTATCCAATTACAATAGTAACTTGCGCATTAGAGGTAATTAGAAAAGCATGTATATGTAAAAAGGGGGAAAATGACACCCTTTATTTCTCGGCAGAGATAACCACTGTTAACTTTTAAAGTATAGTCTTGCAGCCATGAATAGACAGATTTTGAAAACTGCAGTGTCTGTTCTGATGCACAACTAATGAGTTTCTGCCATAAGACCAAAGAAAGAATGGAAGGAAAGTGGCAAAATGACCCAAGTCACAGATAGGAAGCTAAGCTCCATAAGACCTGCTGATGGTGCAGGCCTGTGTCCTAGACATTAGGAGTGATATTTGCTTTGCAAAGTTAACTACAATCAACAAACTTTTCCCCAGGGATTTGAAAATTTATTAGTCTCTGCTTTTCTGGAAACAAAAAACCTATTTTACAGGAAGGAAAGCCTTAAATCGAAGAGGAACATAGACTTCCAAGACAGCTATTATGCCTATCACTAAGAATTATGTTATTTTTTACCAAAATATTTATATATAGATTTCCCATTTGTTTATTTTAATAGCCTTTACTGGTTTCTCTTACATGAAAAGTAATACCTGTTCATTATAGAAAATTTTGAAAATATGGGCAAGTAAAAGGAATAAATTTAAGAGTATTCTTAATACCATCAGTCAGGGATACTAGTATGTACTAGTATATCACTAAAAGTTTGGATGTAGCCCTGGCCAGGTGACTCAATTGGTTAGAGTCATGGTCAGCAAATTGTGGCTTGCGAGTTTGACCCCTTGAGTGTGGCTCTTCCACAAAATACCATGGCCTAGGCGAATCTTTTTTGAAGAAGTGGTGTTAGAAGAAGTTTAAGTTGAAAAAAATTTGGCTCTCAAAAGAAATTTCAATCCTTGTACTGTCGATATTTGGCTCTATTGACTAATGAGTTTGCTGACCACTAACATCATCCTGTACACCAAAAGGTTTTGGATTCGATACACAGTCAGGGCACATGCCTAAGTTTCCAGTTTGATCCCAAGTCAGGGTGTGTATGAGAGGCAACCAATCAATGTTTCTATATTGTGCATATCTTTTTTTCTTTCTCTTCCCCCCTCCCTCCCTCTCATTCTCTCAATATAAACATATCTTTTAATGAGGTTAAAAAAAAAGTTTGGACATAGTGGGTTTGACATATATGTTATTATTTAATCTGCTTTATTCGTCTAAGCATATCTTCCCATATCATTCAATATTCTTGTCTAACATTAGTTTCCATAGCGGTCCGTTTCATGGAAACTTATTGATCACTTCAGTTATGTTCCACTTTTTCACAATTATAAAAATGCCCTTGGATCTAGTTTCTGCACATTTATGATTATTCCCTTGCAGTTAGCTTCTAGAAATTCAATTACTGGGTTAAAAAATATGCATATTTACACTCAGTGGCCAGATTATTATGATCTCTAATGCATAATAATCTGGCCACTCAGTGTGTATGTGTGAGTGTGTGTGTGTGTGTGTGTGTGTGTTAGAGGCCCGATGCATGAATTCGTGCATGGGTGGGGTCTAGCCAGCCTGGCCGGGGGAGGAGACATGGGTGATTAGCCAGCCTGCCTGCTGGTTAAACTCCTGGTCGAGGGGACAATTTGCATATTAGACTTTTATTATATAGGATATACACTGAGATATACACGGATAATTATGTGTTCAGAGATCATAATCATCTGGCCACTCAGTGTAAAAACACAAATACCTTGGTACTTATTGCCAAAGTCCCTCCAAAGAGGTCAGGCACGGCCCCTTAGGAAAGGACCTAATTCCCTGCCCTGTTAATTTCTTCTTAATCTTAGTTTTCATTTTTGAATTAATTTACAAAAGCTTATTAGCTATTGAGGATTTAAAAACATCTGATAATTGTCACAAATATTTCCACTAGTTTGTCGTTTGCCTTTTCTGTGTGTGTTCCAGAAGTTTTTTGTCCTGTAGCAAATCTGTCTCCTGCCATTCTGTTGGGGGTTGAAAGGATTATGTAAATTATATAACCTTCCTAATTTTTCCACTAGCACCTCTATAATTTTGTTTTTACAAATAACTCTTTAATGCACTGAGATTTACTTTAGAGTTTAACATGAGGAAGCACTCTAAATTTAGCCTCCAAATGGCTAGTGTATAGTTCCCAGTCATTTATTTCCACACTAATTTGAAATGTCACCTTTATTAAATTTTAATTCTCATATATATACTCAGGTCTGTTTCTGGACTCTCCAAGGAGTTGTCTGATTATATATATGCTAGTATAACACTTATTTCATGGATGTAGATTTATTATAACTCTTAATATGTTAAGATAAATGCCTTCTTCCTACTTCAAACAATTTTCAAACAAAACTTTCTGGTTCCTCTAGTGCTGTTTCTTTAAACAGATAAGCATAGTTATGTTTGTTGACCCATACAAACTAAAATTCTTTTTAAGATTTTTATTATATTTGCATTCAATTTAAAACTAATTTGGATATAATTTGGCATTTGACAAAAAAAAATAGTTAAAAATATTTCGAGTGGGCACGTTATAGTTCTCTCCTTATTCAGCTCTCAACAATTCTTTTATGCCATTTAGTAAAACTTCGGGTGACTCCCCTTCCACTGGGAGGCAACCACATTTGATCTAATCAACCCATTTTAAGTTGGATCTGTTATGGAAAAGAAATATTTGTTAAAGTGAGTCATATGTTGAATGGAAGTGGAATCGCACATGCAGGCATGGGTGTTTGTGTGTGTGTCTAATTCACATTCTAACCGCCCCCTCTGCTGTGGGATATGAGGGCCTTCTCTGTTGCAGACACAGAGATCAAGGCACCGTTTGGGAGCCTGCATGGATCACACAGTGTGGTCAGAGTCAGGGCCTCCTAAGTCTCAGTTTTTCTCTGGCCTCTAATTCTGTGCCTCACAGAAAGGAGAGAGGTTCCCTCTCTTCCTGCTCCATTTTATTGTTGCTAAAAACAAGGTGAGCAGAGAGATGTTGCTTGGAACGATGACTAGGACTCACTCCCAGTGCTTAACCAGAGTAGCCCCATATCGTCTTCATTTGCATCTTTAAGTATTATGTGAGATTTTTCTGGACTTTGTCTTCCTTTCCAGCTTTAAAAAAAAAAATTCATATTACTTGAAGAAAGACAGAGGTATACCCAGATGCTTCCTTCTGCATAGCTCTTTAAATCAGGACTAGCTAAGGATAAGCAGTGTTTAGATAAATAGTTTTTAGTGAAAAGTTGGTATGCAGTGTGGCTGTACAAAACATATTGGAGATACGCTGTATGATTGCATTATAGTACACGAATTGTGTGAACGTAGACTGAAGTATATCTTTATAATGAGAGAGGGGAACATGAGATGGAGTCTTACATAGGACCTCAGAACATTTGACCTTCAGTTCACCTTGTACTTGTTCTTTGAACCATAAGCCACACTCATGTCCTTACTTTCTCATTGTGGAGAAGCTGGGCCACTGAAGATCTGAAGCAGACATTAGTTAGCACTGCCAGCCTTAATGTGGGCTTTGCTATGGGGTTCTAGTAATTCTTTTACCAAGTCATGTGATTTGGACAGTTCAGAATTCTGAAGAGGATGCCAAAAGGAGTCCATGAAGCTTGACCTTCTATTATAAGATGCTAAGTTGAACAATATTACCCATGTGAATTTCAGTTTACCCCTTTCTTGAGCAAGTTACACATAGAAGATAAAATTAGGACTACTCAGGATAAGCAGTTTTAGATAAATCACTAATCTGGCCAGTGTGGCTCTGTTGGTTGGGGCGTTGTCCAATCCACTGAAAGGTCATGGGTTCGATTCCTGGTCAGGGCAAGTACCCAGGTCGGGTGTGTACAGGATGGATATTTCTCACACCAATGTTTTTCTCTTTCCTCCCTTCCTCTCTGTCTAAAATCAATAAAAAGATATCCTCGGGTGAGGATTTTTTTAAAATTACCTTCTTGTGTGATGTAACTTGGAGTATCTGACTTTAAGAGGTGGGGCACTTCATTGTGTAAGTTGCCTTTATTTTATTTTTTGAAATTGCAACACTTAGCTTTTGGCTCCCTTTAAGTAATTTTAGCATTAATATTGGTGTTTTTCCTTCACATTACATCAGAGGAGGCTGACTCACTGCTTTATTTCCCAGGAGCTCTGCAAGGAGAGGGAGAGGGAAGTAATCTCCTAAATGTTAATAAACTTTTACATTTAATGAGGAAGTGGCCCATAGAGATGTCACTCTCTGAGAAGATGTTACCCCATTCCTCAAAACTCGGGAGCCCTGAGAATTGCTAGGGAAGTAGATAGCTCCCAGACAGGATTTATTTCAGGGAGAAAAAGAGGTTTCCATTCTCGAGTAGATTTGGTGTTTTTTTCAGATATTGGTCTGAGTCTTCTCTTGTTGAGCTTCTCTTCATGAATCAAGACCCATCACAATATCACATCCTGCTGTTGCCTACCTACTCTCCCAGGCAGGGGGGCACTCTACCCGCTAGGTCTGCTTCGCTGTGTATGTACCTCCAGTTAAATTACCACCCTCTTGGTTGTTCTCCTTGTCTATTTATTGCTCAGGGCAGGGACAGTGTCACATTCCACATTGTTAAATCCCTGGAACAATAGCTGGAATGAATTAGTCATTTCTCAATAACTGTGTAAGGTTATATGCACTGAAGAAGGAACTTCTCCATGTGTCTCTCTCTAAAAGAAGATTGTGCATTTGCTTTCCAGTCATGTCATCAAGTCCCACTGTTGGATCTTCCAGCACGTCTTCCATCCTCCCATTTTCCTCTTCAGTTTTTCCTGCTGTCAAACAGAAGAGTGCCTTTGCCCCTGTCATCAGGCCCCAAGGCTCCCCTTCGCCTGCCTGCTCCAGTGGCAATGGAAATGGATTCAGAGGTAAGCCAAGGTTCCACTCTGGGAGTAAGCACGTTTCATGTGCCGCAGGCCAGCAGAGTAAGAGCGCACTGCACGGCCATATGCTCTATCTCTAGCCAATTTACTTACGAAGAGATGCTTTGCTGTTTTCATGGTGCTACGTGAATGGCTTTCCACCTGGGCTAGTACTCCACTCAAGAGCAAGATGGGGGGAAATAGAAGTTGAACAACTTTGCATGATCACAGAATTAACTGGTAGAGCCAGACATATCCTCCGGGGGTGTCTGGACTCCCCACACCTTGGCTTTTCACGAGGACACATCACTATTTCCTAGAAGGGGCCTGATCACCAGGTTGGAGGCTTCATGGTGATGACCAATTACCTATTTGTCTAGCCATCTGCGGTGCGTACACATTCCCTTGGCACAAATGCACAGGGCCCCTCAGGAGCACCAGCCAGGTCTGAGCGTTCTGGCTATGTGCTAGTCAAATTGATAGCAGTTGCCTGATTGGGGTGGTGTAGAGAAGGAAGAAAAAAAGATACTGTGTCTAAGAACAGAAACCGATCACCCATCAAACCCATTTTGAGCAATGTCTTAAAATCTAATGTGACATGACGTAACACAAATGTGATGAGTACATGAGAATCTAATCATCTCAGTGTGAATGGGAGGCAGCTGACGGCGAAAGAGCAAATTGAAAACTGCTGAATGTTGTGGATCCTGACGACCCACATTATTTTTAGGCTGTTCCCCATGTTTTGACATGAAAACATTCATGACCAGCAGTGTTGAATGAAACCAAAGCAGGCAGAGGTTTGGTTAACCCCTCGTGGATCAAGGCCTCTGAGCCAGCAGAGCCTTGGATGACGCCTGGCACCCCTGGGACGGTATCTGCCGAGGGGCTTTATGATAGTGAGTGGCTTCCTGCTCCTTTGAGGGCACCTGCGAGGTTTCATCGTAGGCTGGGTTTGAGCAGGGCTCTGGAAGGTGTGTTAGGTTTCTCTCCCTTCCTACCATCAGAGGCGACGGTGTCTCTTCGAAGTCAAGTAACTTAACAGAGAAACTGTCAAATGAGAACTAAATGCCCAGCACTTAGAAGAATCCCTGAAAATTCTTTTTCTTCTAATTAGACAAAGCCATTGCATCTACATTCCACCTAACTTGTGAGTAGTTGGAAACATATATATATATATATATATATATATATATATATATATATATATATATATATATATATATAATATCTCCAGATGTCTGATTCATGGAGAAACAAGCTCATTTATATCTAAGTGTCTCCACCTGCCCATCTTTTATCAAAGCAGTGGTTTCCGTCCCATTGTTAGGGGACATGCTCAGAACCTTTTCAATGATGGCTTGACTAACAACAATTGCTGAATATTTGCTGTATCTTCCCTTTCTCCACAACCACTCCAGTGATGACGTCTCCCCTTTACATGTTATCTGATTTTAGTCATGTCCCTTAGCCAAGTGGGGGCCACACAGATTTCATTGGGAAAGTGTAGTGTGAGAGGCCCAAGAAAAGCTGAGGAGGACTGCAGGTATGCGAGGAAGATGGAGGGATGTGGTCCTCTCCTCCTTCCAGGCAACTCTTGCAAATATTTTCAGTTTCACGTTGAGGGGGAAAAGTATAACTTGATTTCCCATTGCTACCCTGCCCCCACCTCCTCTCTCACAAAGAATAGAGTTGGGGATGTACAGCTGGTTATCTCAGATATTCCGGATCTGTCCTGTCCAGGGAGGCCCACCTGGTGGCCCACCCAACTATTAACTCGAAGCCAAGATGAATTTTTCACTGCTATCGTGTATACCCAAGGCTCCCTGTGATGTTTCCCAATCAGGATTGAGTTGGCTCAAAGAGTTGGAAAAGTTTGTGTGGGTCATAAGGAGGCTTTCCTGTTGGGACAATAGCAACCAAATAACCATAAGACCCTCTCTAGGGTCCTCAGCTGTGTGAGCTGTTACTCACCACAGGTTGAAACGCCTAGGCTGCGAGAGTGGCTGAGGTGCACATTCTTTTTTAAAAATATTTTTATTGACCTTATTGGAGTTACATTGGTTAATTAAATTATATAGGTTTCAAGTGTACAATTCTATAATACATGATCTATATACTGTATTGTGTGAGCTGCACAATCTTGATCGGGTCTTTAGGAGTGACTATTTAGTTGGTTATATCTAGTCACAGGCTTTGGGCTCTGGTTTCATTTCTATAGAATTACAACAAGGTCATGGGCCTCTTTTGGATTCTATAATTTCCTACAAAGTTTTCTGGTGATTTGAACCATAGAAGAAGGAGGAGGGCAGGGAGGGAAGGATAAGGATAAGGGAAGCACTTAAATTAGGATTGCAGACATTAGTAAAAATTATGAAAATATTAAGTAATGTGTGGAGAAATAAAAGAGAATGCTGGGGTGAACTCAAGGGATATCAGCCATTGGAAGAACACTAGATTTTATCAGAGTCCTAGCTCAGCTCTCTTCCAGGCTATGTGAATCTGTACAAATCATCATCATCTGAGAGCTTCAGTTCTTAGGCTGTTAAATAGAAAAGCTCAAAGCTGTCTACAAGGGTTGTTGTGAAGTAGTTTGTGTAAAGATCAGGAATGTTAAGGGATATTTCGCACAGACCAGCAGAGAGAAGCCTGGGATTGACAAAGGATGCCTTTCAGAGGCCTTGGACCCCTCCCCCCCACTCTTTCTCATTTTGGACCCAGAGAAAAGAAGCTCGAGGTTCAATATTACAGTGTCCATTGATGCAGACAAGGTTAAAACCAAGCTGACAGTGAATGTACTACCCACAGTCACTGAATGAAGGAACCTGGGATTGCAAGGGCACTTCATCTCTTCAGAGACAGATGGGAGAGTAAAAATAGGTCTGAGGTGGTTGGGTGATCACAGGGTGATGGAAAGGTTCTTCTCTAACCTGTAAGATGAGATGGTCTTAATCATCTGCAGGGGACATGTGTGGCTAACGCCCTCTAATACTTGCTGACCTTCACTGAGCACCGCTGAGCACCACGTGCAAGACACTGAACCAAACGCTTCACATGAATTGTCTTGTTCAAGCCTCCCCCCAAAGGGGAAGTTCAGACCTTTAGCGCCATTTTTAGTTAAATAGCTTGTCCAAGGCCACATAGCAAGTGACTGATGACTCGACCTAGACATTTTGACTCCAGAACTGGTGCTCAGATAGCCCACTGTCTCTCTGAGGACAAGAATAGTCCAATTCCTCTCTCACCTTTCACCCATACCTACTCCTCACCTGGACCAAAGAGGGATTATTGTTTTCCCATAAAATGTCAAAGGCCAAAAAATTGGACAACATGCCATTAAGCCGTTTTCTCTCCTCCTCCACAAAAATGCTTACTTTTTTCTCCAGTTAACTTCTGCTTTCTGTCTATGGGCTTCGGTTTCTACCAGCAAAAAGTCAGGGTCACCATGTAGCAGAAATCTAGCCCACGCGGTACCTGACATGAGACTAGGAGGAAGGAAAAATATGTAAAGTCTGCTGTTCTTCTGGCATGCAGTGCAGCTGGTTCATTGCGCGACTCTGCCCTTTTAACAAGCTTTGTAGGTAGCTTTCTGAGGACCTAGAAAAAGGAAGGGGCTGATGAGTTTTTAGTGCAATAGACAAGTGCAAGTTGAAAACTTGAGCCAGATTCCCTCTACCAGAGAGCTATACAGGTAGTGTCATTGTCCCACCCTCCACCTCATCTCTCAGGCATTTACAGTTGATGAGTGCTGAGTGTCAAGATAATATTATGCACTAGGCACCTGATTCATTTTCCAGCTCCCTCCAGGAAAAAAAAAGTAAAATAAGAAAACCTCCTACACTCTAGGATAATTACCAGGGTTGCTGTGTCTCCAAATCATCAGGGAGTGTCCAGAATTGAACTGCCTTTATTGAAAAGTTACATTGATTCGATATATAGTAATACAGGCAAAAATAATTAAGGTTTTGCTAGCTGTGTAAGACCTTAATCCAGATCTCACAGGCATTCAATAAAGGCTGTATGGGTAGGGAAATATACGGCTGATAATTTTGTCCAAGAAGACTAGCTGGTGGGAGAGGAGGTGCAGAAGGAGAGGGAGGAGGAGAGGGTGGAGTGGAGGTGGAGAGAAGGGGGAGTAGGAACAGAAAGGGGAAGAGGAGGAGATGGAGGAGAGAGGTGTGTTGGGGAAAACAGGGAGACTTTTGTCCATTTGCTTATGAGCTTAGTAAGCTCCACTCAGCAAAATGCTTCTATGCTAATTGATAAGCCCTAGGAGAGATATAGACAATATAGCTGAAGGATCGAATTCTAGATATAGTTGAAAGTTTTAATGCAAGAAAATGATTCTGCCAGTTTCCAAGGATGTGAAAAATCTATGGGTTTATTGCCTAAAAGCCAAAGCCAGAGAGGGGTGCATTTCTGTGTGACTTTTCTACACCGTGTGGGTGCTGCTTTCTTTCCCACATCAAGGGAAAGCCTTGGACCTGATGCACCCAGACAGGCTGTCCACATCATCCTGACTACATGGAGGAGATGCTGCACACTGTACTTTGGTGGGGGATGAAGAGTGATGTTGGAGTGATTCCCAAATTAGGAACTAAATTAATTGCTCTATTCCAGTGGATCAGCATTTATTCGTGACTGAGCATCACAGAGCAGCAGTGAGAACTAAAGGAAGATGAGCTAGTTAGGGAAAAGCTAATCAAACTTCAGCTAGAATAGGTAGAAACCTGGGGTGGATAGAAAGTCTGACTTATTATAAATGACTGAGGTCTGGTGCATGAAATTTGTGCACTGGGGGAGTGTGTGTCTCTTAGCCCTTCCTGCACCTTCTTGCAGTCCAGGATCCCTCTCTCCTTACTGCCTACCTACCTGCTGTTCTTTACCACTCGGCTCACTGCGTCTGCCCCCTGGTGGGGAGGGACTATGGGAGGGCTCCAGGGTGTGTCCTGCCCATCTTGCTCAGTCCCGATCTGCCAGACTCCAGCAGCAAGCTAACCAACTGGTCAACTGTCTGCCCCCTGGTGCTCAGTGCACCTCATAGCAATTGATCAACCAGTCAACTGCCTCCTGGTGGCCAGTGCACATCATAGCGAGCAGTTGAGCAGTCTTAGCATATCATTAGTAGAATGTTACACTTTGGTTGGTTGAACAGACAACCAGATGATGGACACTTAGCATATTAGGCTTTTATTGTATAGGATGCCTCATAAGTAACTCAATAGATTCAACCCCTGGAGTATTCTCTCCTGTTCCAACTAAGTAGTCTGGAATTGTATAACCTAGAAATTATTTTTGTCTAATAATGAAAAACATGTTATACATATAGTATCATTTAGTTTACATGCTGTAGTTTACACTACATCATGTATACAACCCATTCATATAAAAGAAAACGTAATTCTTGGCCTCCCAAGCAAAACTTCAACAAGCTTTGTTTGTACTTAGTGATCAGGAAGGTTTCAGCGCCTCTGTAAGCTTTCTGCTAGACCAAACCTGAGGGTGCCATCTCTCTGGATTGCATCAGACCCCGTCAGTCCCATCGCCTGCCCCCTCTCTGAGTTAGAGCCTTCAATGTAAAAAACCTCAGAGATTCATTCCTGTGTCCTTCTTTCCCTGCAGCCATGACCGGACTTGTCGTGCCCCCGATGTAATGAAGAGGCAGAGCTGCTTTCTTATAGCACAAAACTACTTACTCTGATGGACCAACAACGAAGAAAGCACTATGAGTTTTTTGGGGAGATTTATGCCCCCCACATGAACAGACCGACAGATTTCTGTATACGAGGAGCGCGTGTTACCTGGTCTCTCCTTCCTTGTGTAGCTCTGATGGTGGCTATACAAACTGACCCTCTTGGGGACAAGGACAAAAGATGTCATTGACGTAGTCAGTGCTAAAAGCAGAAATGCAATTCTTTGTTATGAACATTATAAGAACCACCTTCCTATGTTTGTAAAATATTTAAAAAAAAATTGGCAAACAACTCAAGCTTAATATTTTGGATACTACTTGTTTTTCTTTGTAGGAAAAAAAAAGTTGAAAGTTTCTATTTTCTATGAAGCCTTTCAGATACCAATTTAGTTTATGCAGAAAAAAAAAACTGAACAAAACAGGGTACCAGCATGGAAGACTTTCTTAAAATGAAACCCGAATTGAATGACATGTTGTTGTATGTGTGTTTGCTTATAGTTTAATCTCTTTTAAAAAAGGGAAAAGTTTAAAATGTTTTACAATTATTTAAATAAATAAACGTGTAACTTATTGTAAGTAGAGGTAGGAATTAAGACCTTTTTGGAAAGAGGCAGTTCTCTTTCTGATGTAAAATGAAACTGATGCAAACATGTAGTAACAAGTTTAAAAGATGTGTGATTATTACTGCAGTTACTTACTAGACTCTTTCCCCCCCATCCTGCACCCTCTTTTTCCATCATTTTATTGACCCCTGGGCAAGAACAGGTACCTGATGTAGATTCCTACAGAACAGCCCGACAGAAACAAAAATTCAAACCCATGCAGATACATAATGCTCAAGCCCATCAATTCATTTCCATCCCCATCTGCTTTCTAAATAGTCTACAAGTCCCTTTTGGTAGTCACTCTGTGAAATTTAAAAAACAACAACACATACTAACTTTCCACATTGTCCCCCAAGCAGTACAGAGAATTCTCATGTTTTAGTGCATCCCAGCTTTCCACCACAGGGAATGAAGTCTCACCTGAAAGAAGAGCCAAAGCCATGTGACTTTCCCCACCCAGCCCCCCCTTGGGTCTTCACGGAGCCACGCCCCCCCTCCTCTTGGGTTACCTGGCTCAGCACTGAGGTAGAAGCCCCACAGAACTTCAGAAACAGGTGTCTCTGTTTCTTGTACTCTTAGAAGGTCAAGTCCTTCCTTCTCTCTTTAGATTTTCCCTCTCAAGGCATTAAACTCTCTTAAAAAAATGTATATATCCAACTTGACACAGTTTTCAGGCCAAGAATGGAATGGAGTATGGAAGAGGAATGTTAAAAGCCCTAAATCCTTGTCCTGGTGTTAAAAAAAAAAAAATGGGAATACAGATTTTTAGCAGGGTCAGAGATTGGGGACATCTGTGTTCCAAGCAGCTCATTTACACAGGCTGCAATGGGCTTTCCATAGTTCTGGGAGTGGCTCGGAGTGGAGGGGGAAAGGGGGGAACATTGCAGGAGCCTGTATGATCCAGGGATGCATCCAGACTTATTTGGATTGCCAATAAGGATCTCATTATTTTCCAGGTCAGGGTTTTCCTTGTTGACTCATTGGCACATAAGATAGTCTATACACAGACTCCAGTTTGGGTTTCTAACATTAGAAATGGATGCAGCTCTCATGGAAAAACCACCTTTCGTGCATCTGAGCCAATTTTAGATGATACATGCCCACTACTACTCAACCCCATCAGTCTTATTTGCCTGTAATCTATTCTGGAATTACCCAACATGACCCAAATATTATTTCTATGCACAGGAGAATCCAAGGTTTTGGAGACCTGACATGCTCATAACTTTTGCTGACAGTCCCTCACAGTCAGGGCTTGAAGCGCCAACATATAGGGAAACACACGAGAGAAAGTTCCCTAGTGAAAAAGCTGATGGGAGGGGAAAGTGTGTAGAACACAAGCATTACCATCCAGAAAGGAAGGCAGAACAAAGTCAAGCATGTCTAGACCTGGATTTGAGCCAATCCAACATAAGGAAATGTTTTTTTTAAAGTAGCATTGCTTTTAGAATCTGTGAATTTTGCTCTTGCATGAAGATGAGTGCAGTACTGTCTTCAAAATGATTGTAGAATTTGTTGGTAGCTTTACACCGAAAAAAAAAATGTGTGTAACTAAATACCAGACACCTTGACCATTCAGCTAGAACCTTGGCAGCAACAGATTTATTTAATTGTATAAATGTGTGTAAGGATTATTTTTAGTGTACTAATAAATCTCAGACAAAGCTACTCTGTCCTGTTTAGTCATTGCTGTTGAATCATTCTGGTCCCAGGTTATTTCTGTGCCACTTGGAAGACAAGTATTTCTATAGGTAACTACAAGTTCTATCCTATCTTTATAAGAGGAGCTGTGTAAGATGTTTTCATTTAAAGGGACAATTTACTTCATTATTTATCTCACTTTTTTTTGTTTTGTTATAACATCGTATTTCTCCCCAATTTTTCTTTGCACATTTCAATATGCATGGTTTAAAAACCATTATCTTCTCTACCTTTTGTATAGTAAGGTCTCATTTTCAAACTGTATAGTTACCTTTTTCTCCTTTTTGCTTTGTCAGTTATATACAGTATAAAGTTGCTATGCACAGAGCTTTTTGTAAAGACAGCTTTTTTGTTTACTGTTTTTAATGGTCTTACTTATGAAAGAATATCTTGTTTGTAAAATGAATATGCCTACTTCAGTTTTAAACTTTAAATTATCCTAACAAAAAATAAAATTTTTGTACTGTAAAAATTTTTGGAACGTTGCCTTGTTGTTTGAAGTGGGAAAAACTTAAGTTTGGGTTTTCTTTCCTTGACTTAGTCGATTTTCTCATAACTGCTAGTCCCTGAGCTCTGGTTGAGGAAATCTTACGATCGCTTTTGCTTACCTGGCAAGTGTTCTGAGGAACTCACATAGAGAAGAGAATCTGTTTGCATTTAGATCTTTTTCTGTAGGTATTTATCTATATATCCATCAGTCAAATTCCTTCATAAAAAGTCAAATGATCCTAACTCCTATGTAGGGCTTTTGTTATGAGGAATTATTGAGATAGGTGGGTGGTCTAGTTCAGTTTGAAAGGGCTTGCTGAATAAATGTTATAACTGATCCATCCAACACTGAGGAAAAAATTGGAAGCTGGCCACAAAAACTTGATGCCGATTCTTTAAAAAAAAAAAAGTTTTTATTGATTTCAGAGAGAGGAAAGGAGATGGAGAGAGAAATATCAATGATTAGAAAATCATTGATTGGCTGCCTCTACCCCATCCCACTGAGGATCAAGTCTGCAACCTGAGCATATGCCCTAACTGGGAATCGAACTGTGACCTCCTAGTTCATGGGTTGATGCTTACCCACTGAGCAACACTGGCCAGGCTTGATGCCTCTTCTTGAACCTTAGGAAGAGAAGAAGACATGTGTTCCTGGAAGGAAATAGTCCATGGAAGAGGACTAGCATAAAAAGGTAGAAGGGCTGTAGGAGTTCAGAGGGGACTATGATTTCAGAGGGTTGAAACAGTCAGAGAAGTTTGTAAGGGGAAGAGTGGGCTGCAGCAGGCTTTCAAACAATGGTAGTAATTTTGCACTAGATGTTGGCAGTGAGCAGTACAGATGGGAAGGTCATCAGGAACAAACACATGTAAAGGGAAATTCACAAAGCACATTTAAGAAAATGTGATTCTAAATATGAATTTCAACCAGACTATTCATAAACATAATTGGGTTATTTCATTTCTCTCTACAAAGATACCAATATCTACATAGATTGTTTTCCTGGTATAAGTGGGTGAGAAGCCATTAGTGGGCACTAATCTGAGAAAACCACTGTAGTTTTGTTTTTCTCTATGGAGACTAACTCTCTGCCTAGATTGTGCTTCCTCTGAATCTTCCCATGGCTCATGCCTTGTCATCCTTCAGGCCTCAGGTTAAGTACCATCTACTCAGGGAGACCTTGGCTGACCTCTGGTCATACAGGGTTCCCCTTAATCTCTTTAACTGAATAATTTGTATTTGTCTGTTACCTTTAGATTGAAATTGCATAAGAACAGAGACAATTACTGTCTTAAACCATTACTGAGTCCAATGCCTGAGATCACAACAATGAATGAGTGACTGAGCAGACTGAATCCTGATCCCTGAGGGCAGCTCTGCCTTGTTTCATGGAAGAGGTAACTAATCTGCCACAATTGATAGGAACAGCCTCACTTTGAGAATCCACTCCTCAGTGACTATCTTGTTAGTCAACTAGTCAAAAAAAAATGAAGTGTGTCTTTAATATAAAGTGGCTGGTTGTTTAATAAACAAAAAAATCAAAATGAAAGGGAATTAAGGAAGAAGAGACCTCTGGCTGGTGGCCTGTAGAGGAGGTTGCTTTGCCTCTTGGCCTTGGAACTTACGTTGAATTTCATGATGCTCAGGTGTAGTTTCAGAATCATAATTGGGGCCTTTTAGGAGAATGCACATTTTGCTCCTATTCCAATTATGACACTTGACTTGTAAACCACACACTTGAATCTCAAAGAGCTTATGGTATGTTTACCAAAATGGAAGGAGTTCAGAGTGACTGTAGGACAATGACTGTGAGAGAGTAATGAGATTTGGAACTTTAAAAATTAGGTGGGGACTGGGTCCTCAAGGACCTTGCTCACAGTAGACTTTATCTGTGGGACTATGCTGTAGGTAATGGTTAACTATGAAAGGAATTTAAGTCAAGGAGTAACACAATCAACTTTATGTCATAGAAAAATCACAGTAACTACATTGTGAATAATGGTTTGAAATAAGTGAATATTGGAGGCAAGGAGACCATTTAGGTAAGGGAAAAAAGATAGCTGAAAAGCACCAGTGTTCTATGACTGGTACCCATTCTGATTGTTCCTGTGCCAGTCAGTTGATAAATGTTTTTTAAATTACTTTTGCAATTAGGAGACCATTGTAATT